TGTAATTTTGGTTCTGAAATTTTTTATTGATTCAATTGTATTGCCAATTGCCTCAATTTCAATTATTTTTTATTCAATTATGCCCCTAATATAGTTAATTTTTATATTTTGTATTTTTTATATATTTTTTATTATTCTCCCCTCTTTTTTTATAGTAAACTCTAATAATGGAAATAAAAAATAAAAATACCAATATGAAATAAACAAAATAAAAAGGAAAGAAAACGATAAACATTTTAGGGGAAAATTTTAGTTATGACACATGTTATCTTATAACTATAGTTATCTTTTATTTTGATTTGCTACGAAGATTTTTCAACACTATAACATATGTGCTAATTAGCTTCACCTAAATGGTGAACCTTTATAGTTGCATGTGAAAAGTTTTATAGATAGTTTAAGGTCATTATCACATTTTTCCTTTTTAGCATTGTTACTTTCTAGTCGAGAGTTTTAAGAGTAGGAAAGCAATAATCTATCTCTATATATTTTTTATTAAAGACTCGAGTCCACCAAAAATGGCGTTAGTGAAGAAAGCTAATCTCATTGGAGATTGAAGAAAATAGTGATTTGTGGAAAAAAATATAGGAGACCCATGTCTAAGTAGTCTCTTGTTGGAGAATGCCTTTGAATTATTACTACATCATCCCCTCAAAATTTAGTGTTAATTGAAACTTTTGGGAAAAGGATGAAAAGTATAGATGATAGATATCGATAAAGGATCATACATCCTATGGAGGTGTGGAATAAAAAATTTTTTTCCTCCATCTAAGGTTTTCAAGATCGTGTCATTGAATTAACGAATCATAAATAAACATGAATATAAATATAGGTTATAGCAAAAAAATAATTCAAGTGGAAAGGAAATCATCCAAGTATCCGGCCTCTATTGATAATCCACGCAACTCAAACACCTATACAAAAAGCAATCAAAAATTGTTGAAAGCTAGCTCCACCTTTTTCCGATATCTTTACTTTTCCTTTAGAAATCAATTCGGGGTTTTTGTTCAATAACCCTAGAATGACAAAACGAGAGGTGGTGGTTTTGAAGGAGAGAAAACTCTTTTCTTTTTTTCTTATTATTATTATTATTATTTTGCCATTTATTATTCTCTAAAAGCTCTTCTTATGCCACCTCACTCTCCTTTATTTATATAAGGGGCGACAACATCTCCTTATAAGTCAAGAAAATAAGGAGATGTTACCTATGTGGGCTTTATCTAACCTTATCCTTGTGAACCCTAAGCCTTATCCAATAGAGCTCAAGTTTACCTCTCCATCAAAATATATTAGAGGCTTTTAAATTAAACCTATTACCCTAAACTGTTTTAGCTCAATTAATTATCAATTAATTTATACCATCCAAATAAATTAGGTCATATATTTTTAGGAGGCCTACATTAAGAAAAAATTTCTTAAATTATCCTTAAACCTAAATTAGAAAACTAATTTTCTTTTTAGGTAACTCGTTTCAATTTTGGAATTGACTTCTAAATTAAGAAACTCGATTTATGAAATAAGAAAATTTATGTTTTTTTAAAAAATTCCAAAACAGTAAAACTTTCCAAAATAGAAAAAAAAATTTCAAAATATGAAACTTTTTCTAAAACAGAAACTTTCAAAATAGAAAACTTTTTTCAAAACTTTTGCTTCTCTTTTATTGTGTGAATGCTTAAACTTATGCATGTGATTCAATGGGTTTCTACGTATGTTGATAATATATCAAGAATAAAAGATATTTTCTTTATCTCTTGATATATAAATCAAGATTGGCCTCTAGGAAGGCATCATAACTATCAAATTCTATAAAATGATTAATTAATCCACAATTATCTTTCACGAGTATAGTTACTATATAATTCGAGTCCTCATGTCAATTTATCATAGTGTGATATCAAACTTGGTTTATTATCTATTCGATTATGTTCATACAAGTTTTCTTCGATTTTCAAATGTCTTGGCTCTAAAGTAAACCAACTATGCTCTATTAGTATACCGTCACCGTGGTCATAGATTTCTTTAACGGACATTTATTGAAGTATAATATGATAATATTTTTAAAAATATAAAGAATGACATGTTCTATCTCTATTGTCCACCTATCTTCATTAGACTCCTAGTGCATCCAACGAATCGTCCACATGCAACTCTTAACTAAGCCCATCGAAACGTCTTTCAAAGTACATAAATCATCTAATGAGATACCATGATGACTTTAAATTAAATGACTAGTTGTATCCATCTCGTATGAGATTCCCATAAATTAAACCACATAGGTTATCATAGTGAGTCACGTCTAGTTATATGTTCACTAATGTTAATCACCTAAGTGGTTGCTTTAGCATCATGATGTTAATAGGTATAAAATCTCCTATCGCTATCTTATAGCATGAGCATAACACTCACAAGTCCGACCACATATAGTCAAGGTTCATTCTTGACAATGCTATGTTTTGAAATATTTAATGATATCATTTAAATACATTGATGTTTGTCTTATATTTTTTTATCAATCATTAATGCAATGCATATCATGTGGACTTCTATCTAATTCTATCAAATTATAAACAATAAGAATTAATAAAAAACCTCTTTTATTAATATAGAAATGCAATGTTACAATACATCAAACTATTCAAATAAAGTTAGATCTTGGATGGACACCTATACCGATAATCGAATCATCCTCCTAGTTAAGGGTTATCATAATTTCAAGGATAGATAGGCTAATCTTATTTATTGTTGTTTTTTTATTGGAAAATTGGAATTTTATTGTAAGCGTACTAACATCTTGTCTAGTTTTTTCAATGAGCAAACCGTTCAAGGAATGAGTCGATCCGGGAAAGTTTAAAAATCTCGAGAGTGGGTTGCTATCTTAGTGATCGAATCTAGTCCTTCTAGGACATTTTGTGGACAACCTAGAAAGGAAGGGCCGCAGTCCTTAGGAGCAAGCCCTCGTCATCGGTGAGGGTAAAGAGATGTATAGGTCTTCTCAGTCAATTTCTTCCTTTTACATACTTGTGTGTCTACTTCGAAGGTACCGGACAGGGAGAGGAAACGAATGAGATTGAGTGAAGTTGGAGCTCATATACTCTGAAATGAAAAATTGGTTGTTACTCCCATTGCAAAGGATCCACTAAACACAACATTCGAAGCCTTAACCTACGCCCCGACTCGCCATCGGTTAGACAAGTGGATCCTATTGCATTATCGAAGTTAGGGCCCCTACCTAACTAGAGAAGCTTTCCCAACTATGAGTCACTCATGAAAGGAAACCGATGAGAGTTTTTCCGATAAATCGCAAATTGGTTTTGCTTATGCCTTTCTACTCCTCTAGTAGAGAAATAACTCGTATGAGAAATGAGCTCTTTTGGGACGCCACCACTTATAGGGCAATGAGAAAGAGAAAGAAAAAAATATTTCATATATGTTCTAGCTTTGTTTGTCAATTACATATTTGATCTTATTTATAGGTTTTTCAAATATAGAACTATAATTTTTATAGATAGAAAGTTGAAAAGATAGGGATGCAAGGGTTGTTGAGGCATGTCATAAGCTATTAATAGTAAAGGAAAGAGAGCGGCAATTATTTCGCATTGAGATATAGAGAAAGCTAGAGGAGATGTAGAGTTTTTTGGCTAGAGCCCTCGAGAATAAAAAAGCTATCGTAGCAAAGGAGTTAGCTCTTACTAAGGGATAATAAAAAATGGAGGGAGTTTTAAATGCCTTAGTGACTTCGAAGCGATCGTTATCGATTAGGTGAAAGAGTCGAAGAAAACCTTAGTAGTAATAATTCTAGACATAGATGTTGCTCTAGAGGAGACCGCTCGCATAAAAGCAATGGAGAATGACCTCGAGAAGCTCCGTAACATATTTTATGGAACTTCCGAGTTGATACTTTTCCGACCGAGTGGTGAAGGTTCTTGAAAACATCTACTTCTATAACAAGACGAAAAGGATTGATGTATACCTTTCTCAAATCTTTGATGATGAGTCCATCCTAGATTTTGATGGAATGTTCCTCGTTCGTGAAGCCATTGCTGTAGGAAAAAAAAGTTTTTTTAGTAAGCAACACCCTCTTGTGTCCGTCCGGACGAGAATCCCCTTCTTACCCTCGTCCAAGGAAAGCAACACCTCATTCTTCCCATCCAATGAGAGAAACTGTAATGGGATATATGATATCCCGCTAATCATGAGATATTTATGTTAGTTAGTATTTAGATATTATGGGATATGAATGAGATTTGGTCAAATCAATCTCGACCAATCGGTCTAATTACATTAGCATGATTTTATGAGATTTGTTCATATACGTAAGAACTCTTTTATATATATATTATATCACATCTATCAATAAGAGACAGAATAGATTTTCCCATAACATATCATGGTATCGAGCTTTTCCAGTGGCTAGACTCGCTACGTTTCGCTTGGTGAACAACGGCACTGTGATGGCAGAAACCAATAAGCATGGAAAGACTACGATGACAAAGAAACAAGAGCAAACCAGTGATTGTGGGAAGCGGGTTGTTTCCCCTTATGACTCGAACGCGAGCGACAACCTAGGGAATGTGATCACCCGAGTGCAGCTCGGAGGAGAAATTTAGAAAGAGTGGGCACGAGCCATGCGTACCTCCTTACGTGCACAACTCAAGTGGGGCTTTGTAGATGGTACTGTTGGACGGTCGAAGGAGGGAACATATGAGATGGAGGATCGGTGGACGAGCCTAATCCATGCTTGTGTCATAGATTTTGAACATCATAGAGCCTAACTTACGCTCTACGATCTCCTATATGAAGAATGCGAAAGATCTATGGGAAGACATCGGGGAGAGATTTTCTATCGTGAATGGGCCAAGGATTCACCGATTGAAGTCCGAACCGGCGATTGCAAGCGGAATGGATTGACGAGTAGTGGCTTGTTATAGTAAAATATTATGGGATGAGTTGGCTAACTATGAGCGATTTCGATCTATGGTTATGGAGGTTGCAAATGTGACATGGCTTCTAAACTCGAAAGGAGGAGAGAAGAGGAAAAGGTGCATCAATTTCTAATGGGCTTGGATGACATAATTTATGGCACCGTACGATCTAATCGCTCGCAGGTGATCCATTACCTTCTCTCAACCAAGTATATTCAGCCATGGTGCGGGAAGAACGAGTGCGCGCCATTACTAGATCTAAGGAGGAAAGAGGTGAAATTATGGGACTTACAAGCACAAGCTAAGAGCGAGAGGATGTGGGGAGTACGGAGATAAGAATTAAGTCCGCACTCACCGCAATAGATTAGGACATGATGCGGGTCATTGTTTCCAATTGGTTGGTATCTTGACTGGTGGGGTGATAGGCCTAAAAGTGAAGGCAAAGTAATTAACCGAGGCAAGTAGCAACAACAGCGAGTGGGTATTGGCGAGAGATAAAAAGGGTGTTCGAGCCAATGCAACCAAAACGAGCACTTCGAAGGCGCGTCCTCTTGTGTCACGAAGCGGACAAAATGGGACTTGTCGGCTTAACGAGTAGACCAATGGCAGAGGCTTGTAGACATGTTGAATAAGGCGGACTTTAGTGAGAAGATGACGAGTAAAACATCATGGATCATCGACACTAGCGCATCAAATCATATGACAAGCAATTTGAAAGAATTGTGTGACGTGCATGACATTATAGCATCCCCGGTTAGGTTGCCGGATGGAGATCAAAAAAATGCTACAAAAGAAGCAACAATTTTCTTAGAAGGAGGGTTGAAGCTTACAAATGTTCTTTATTTCCCAAAACTAAAATGTAGTCTATTATCCGTCTCTCAATTATCGGATGAGTCAAATTGTATTGTACGGTTCACTAATAAGCTCGTGTTATGCAAGAATGCACTTCGAGGATGGTGATTGGTGCGAGTAGACGGCACGATGGGCTCTATTATTTTTATGGGGAACGAAGGGTAAAAGTTTACAAGACAACTAGTGCAAATCAATTGGATCTTTAGCACAAGCGTTTGAGGCATCCGTCTTTCAAGATCACACAGTCAATTTCTAATCCGAGTAAGAATAAATGTGAAGGATTGTGCAATAAAATTTATGATGTTTGTCTCGGAGAAAAACATTGTAGAGACAAATTTTCTATCGGTGACCATAATGCCAATGACATTTTTGAATTAATTCATTGTGATTTATGGGGTGCATACAAGACTTCTTCTTCATGTGGTGCATTTTATTTCATGACAATAGTAGATGATTATTCTCGTGGAGTATGGATTTATCTATTGGTTGATAAAAGGGAAGTATCTCGAATGCTTTTGAATTTTTTTCTCGATCAAAACACAATTTGGTAAAAATGTCAAAATCTTTCATAGTGACAATGGCACCGAGTTTCTTTGCATGAAAAATTATTTTTCCGAACATGGTATAATTTTTCACACCTCTTATGTCGGGACGCCCCAACAAAATGGGAGAGTAGAAAGAAAGCATACACATATTTTAAATATAGCTAGAGCTCTTCGATTCCAAGCTAATCTCCCTATCACTTTTTGGGGCGAATGTGTTTTGACAATTGAGTATCCGATTAATAGAACACCATCTACGATATTACGTGGGAAAACGCCATATGAAATGTTATATGGGAAACCTCCTACACTTGATCATTTACGGGTGTTTGGTTGTCTCGATTATGCACATAACCAAAGGAGAAAGGGGATAAATTTGCTAGTAGAAGTAAAAAATGTATATTTGTTGGATATCCACACGGTAAAAGGGTTGGAGATTGTATGATCCGAAGTCTCAAGAATTTTTTGTTTCTCACGATGTGGTCTTTGATGAAACTAAAATTCCTTACCAAGTCCCTACGAAGACTACATGCGAGTGATCGGGGAACACCACATATTTTGGATTATGTGGAGGATGATGACGAGCCGAATGTAGGTTTTGATCAAAGCCCAAAAGGTGTTGGCGATAGGGGCACAGTGGCCCATTAGAAGATATAATTGACAAGGGGGTGCGAGTAGCATAGAAGAAGCACCGTCTAGACATGTGTTACCTACCGAACCTTCTTCGGATGACACCGGTGTTGAGGCCGGAGAGCACCATGAACCCGAACGATTGGGACGTGAGTGCAAACCTAAAATGCCTTCATCCCGATTACGTGATTATGTCACCAACACTCGTACATGTTTTGAGCCCATCTCGCTCGGTTACCTTCGTCATCTCTAACCTTAGGTGCTCCCTATCCCACTTGCTAATTATGTGAACTCGTCATAATTTTTCTTTGGCACATCGTGGTTTTCTTGCCTCTCTTGAATAGGAAAAAGAGCCCATGACATATAAAGAAGCTATGCAAGATTTTAGGTGGAGAGAAGCCATGCAAAATGAAATTACAGCTCTAGAAAACAACCACACATGGATCTGTGGTACCATTGCCTCCTGGAAAGAAGGCCCTCGGGTTCAAATGGGTCTAGAAAATCAAACGAAAAGCCGATGGCACTCGTGGAGAGATTCAAGGCTCGCTTAGTCATCATGGGAAACTATCGAGTCGAAGGAATTGACTATACCGAGACCTTTGCTCCAGCTTGTAAAAATGCCGATGGTACGAGTAGTATTGGCAATGGCAATCGTAAGAAACTAGACGTTACATCAAATGGACGTCCATAATGCTTTCTTGCATGGAGATTTACAAGAAGAAGTTTTCATGAAGCTTCCGCATGGTTTTCATGAAGCTTCCGCATGGTTTTCATGTATCTCAACTCGGCATGGTATGTAGACTTCCTAAATCCCTTTACGACCTCAAGCAAGCACCTCGATGCTTGGTTTGCCAAGTTGTCTCATGCTCTTAAGTCTTATGAATTTCGACAATCTTTGTCCGATTATTCTCTATTCGTTTTACGTGAAGAAAGAGGTCGATATTATTGTTTTAGTTTATGTGGATGATCTCATTGTAATCGGAAATAACCATACGGCCATTCGGCGATTCAAAGCATACATGAATGGATGTTTTCATATGAAAGATCCGGGGGTGTTGAAATATTTTTTAGGCGTTGAGGTTGCCCGCTCACCTACAAGTATTTTTCTTTCCCAAAAAAAGTATGCGTTTGACATTATTATAGAAACTCGGATTACTTGGAGCTAAGCCGGCACTCACTCCTATAGAATCGAATCACCATTTAGCTTTTGTTGATGGACCTCTTATTTCTAATCCCGCACGATACCGATGTCTTATTGGTCGATTAATCTACTTGTGCTTTACTAGACCCGAGCTCTCTTATTGTGTTCATATCTTATCTCGGTTCTCGCAAGAACCGAGACAAAAGCATTAGGATGCTACTTTAAGGGTGGTACGATATCTTAAAGGGAGTCCAGTGTCGGGGAATTTTGTTATGCACGGATAACACTTTGTCCATTTATGGATGGTGTGATTCGAATTGGGTTAGTTGTCCGTTGACTCGTAAATCTCTCATCGGTTGGTTTGTGTTCTTAGGCGGTTTGCTCGTTTCTTGGAAAACGAAGAAGCAATAAATCATATCCCGCTCCTCTGCCGAAGCTAAATATCGGTCTAAGGCCACCGTGACTTGTGAGGTAAAATGGTTGGAAAGCATACTCGTGTTGTCTTGGCATTTCTCATTATCAACCCATACGGCTTTATTGTGATAGTCAAGTTGCTCTCCACATTGCCAAAAATCCCATTTTCCACGAATGCACTAAACATATAAAAGTGGATTGTCATTTTGTCGGGAATGAGATTCTTGCTAGCCATATCGAACCGGCTTACGTCCCCACTTCCATGCAACTAGCTAATATACTTACCAAATCTCTTGCGGATCTTAGTTTTATTATCTATTGCACAAGTTTGGGATTTGCGGTCTTTCTCCACCAACTTGAGGGGGTAATGGGATATATGATATCTCGCTAATCATGGGATATTTATGTTAGTTAGTATTCGGATATTATGGGATATGCATGAGATTTGGTCAAATCAATCTCAACTAATCAATGTAATTACATTAGCATGATTTTAGGAGATTTGTTCATATACGTAAGGACTCTTTTGTATATATATTATATCACATCTATTAATAAGAGACAAAATAGATTTTCCCATAACATATCAAACTCGCCTAGTAATAAAGGTAGCAAGCAACTTACGCCTTTATCTTCCCAAGTAAAAGGCTCTCGTTTTTAGAAATTAAGCCTAAATATACACTCTAAATCTTATATGCCTTCAAGTATTAAGGAGACCATAAAGAGAGCTATAAATCTAGTGAAGATAGACTAGGTTTTTTAAGTTTTTTTCATAATAGTTTGCCTTAGTCTTGTTCGGTTAGGTTGTATCCACAATTTATTAATGCAATATTTTCATTGTACTTCATTTCTTTGTTTTCAAGTCCAATGATTTCTTTTTTCTTGATTAGAATCCGAATTCCCTTATAATAGTATGAGAGTTGGTTTATTGAGTGGGATTCAACATTCTATACGTGCTTTTAGTTTCTATAGGACTCAAACTTTAAATCCGAGTATGATGTTTGCTTCTTCTTTTCCAACTCCCAAACTTTGAATCCAAGTTCCTTGTCTATCCTTTGTTCTTTAGAACTCTTAGACATTGGATCTAGTTTGCTAGCCATTTAGCTTAGTATGATTTTCTAAATCTTTTGTTGTGCCTATAGTGGGAGGAGCTATTTGTTGGACTCCTTTTGGATGGATTGATTGAATGGAGTCCTTTCGTCTAGCCTCGCCCACTTTGACCAATGTTTGGTCTTAGGCTTATGGTGTCATTTCAACTTGGACGAGGTAATCATTGGCTTCCAAAGAAACAAAATTGTAGGTTTGCAAAAGAACTAAATTGTCGTATAAATTCTTCCTATATCTAAAATAGCCGATTGTTTTGTTGTTCCAATAAACAATGAACAGGTGAACCATCACGTGGGTATCGTTCATTTGATTTATTTATTTTTATTTTTATTTTTTATTTTTTTGCTTTTGCTTGATTTTTTTATTCTTTTTTTTTTAATTTTCACTTTTGCTTATTTTTTTAGTTTTTAAAAAATTTAAATTATTTCTTTTTTTTTCTTTTTAATTTTCACCTTTAGTTTTTTTCCTTAGTTTTTTTTTATATTTTTGTATTATTTCATTTTGATCCCTAAAATTTTAAAATAAATATTTTAATCCCTATTTGTGCACTCGCATGTCTTTTTTTCCTTAGTTTTTTTTCTCATCAATTTATGTTCTTTTTTTATTTAATTGATTCCCCGATTCTCATTCCAATTCATTCATTCCCATTCCAAGAACTTCATTTCGAATACCAAATAGCACCTTAAGGAATTCCATGTGGTATGCTTAACCATGAGACCATAAAAAGTATCAAAATAACAAATTAAACTATATGCATTTCCATTCTCACTAGATGTGAATGCAAAGAATTGGTTATATGATCTTTCTATGTGATCAATTAACTCTTGAAATAGGAAAAAAACAAGTTTTCTTATTAAAGTATTTCCTTACGTTCGCAGTTACTAGTATAAGGAAGGAGATTTGTGGTATCCA